ATTAAAAATAAGACGATCACAGATAAAATAAATAACAATAAATATAAAGTAAATTAACGAAAGGAAAATCTCTAGTCAAACATATAATCTCCACTAATGGTTCGAATCATTGATCACAGATGCAGAGATAAAATCTTTCATTTACAAATAAACTGGTTATGGTTGTCAACAAGCTCTGACAACCTGCCTAACCTTCCTGATTCGATAACCACAACAAGATCTGTGGTTATTGCCCTAGCCAATTAAACAGTCCTAAACACGCTCTTAGGATTTAACCTATTGATAGCATTAATCATTAGACTGGCCACCAATTATAACCAACAAACACACACGCTCGGTTTATTTAGGCTATATCATATATTTCCGCAACAACAATTCGAAAGTTTCTACTACAATTGAATCATGTCACTCGCCACATGCACTAAAATTACCCAACAATTACGGATTGAGCACTCTTAGATGGCTGTTAATTACTCACACAATTAAACAGCGATCAAGTATTTAATTGCAAGAAATAATCATATGCATAAGTGAACAGGAAATATATAAATACTTGCAAATTAAAGAACGTAGGCAAATCAATTCGATCTCACAGTTTTGTCGAACCAAAGCTTCGATTTAACCTCTGACTAGATGAAGAAATTAGCCACTCCTCATAGTTGAATTGCAGCCAAAAGTACTACTCGAGTTCTTAATTGAAAAAGGAAAATAAATTGGGAAAAGGAAGGAAAAACGGAACGGAACAGAATGGCCTGCGTTGATTTTCAGAGTCTTCTCCCCTGCCGTTTTCTCCTTTTTTTCTTTTTTCTCTTTTCTTTTTTCTAATCCTCTTCAGTTGAACCAGAGGTCTTTTTTTACCTCGCGTCCCCCCAGGGCTTCTTTAGCGTTTCTTTCTTTTTTTTTCCAAAAATGGGCCTCGTGTGCAATTGAAGCTCAATGGGATGCGGGCTTTCTACTGCATCAGTTGTACTGTTCTTTGCTTTAAACTAACCAAAAGCAAAAGCCCAAAACGCTTGCTAACTTGATGCAGTAACAATCATCAACACCCCATCATCCCTGATGTAGCGGTTTTCAAGTATCAACTAAGAAACTTGTATCAAGATTTTCTTAATGGAATTTCCTCAATTAGGCTTCAATTTCTCCTTTTCTGCCTCAATTGACTTGAAGTTCCTAGAAATCACACAAAAATTCAAATATAAGTAGAATCTAGCAAATTATCACAACATTTGGTCAAAATAAAGGGGAAAATATTAACAAATAAACTGCCTAATTTGCGCATTAACAAATAAAAGCCAAAAATAAATTAGAAAAAATGGATAATTTCAGATACAATATGTTATTCATCAATAATATTATATCAAAAGCTTTTACTAGATGGTTATTTGTTCCAATAGCATATTAAATCAACCATTAGTGCTTATGAGAGTGCATTAAATATTTAGTAGAGAGGTAGTTTACTTCAATAAGTAGCATGTATATAAATACTTAGTGCATGTACAATCTGGTTGAAATAATGTACACCGTGTTATCAACCAAGTACGAAGCATAGAAATTATTGAACATGCAGTTATTTGTTCACATGCATATTGCAATTGGTCATCGCAGCAATATGCATAGTGCAATTGTATGTATACATTTGGAATGGTTATTGGTGCTTTGACCTACTTGTGCATCTCCTTACAAGCTGCAGTAGGTATATAATTTTATCTATATGACTAATACTAATTTGCTTATAAACACCTTACACGGGATGATTTATGAGATACAATCAGTTTACAAATATATACATTATGTTAGATGTTAATTACTTGACTGTGTATATCTATAAAAGGTAGTGTAATGGTATGTATAAATTGGAATGGTTAGGTGTTAAAAAAATGTACATCACGTTACGTGTTAGTTATTTGACTATGTATACATGTAAAAGTGAGATTAAATATAGCGTAGAAAAAAATAATTACGTGAATTAGAATGTATTTGTCCTGATAATCACGAAATATTAGCTATTTTGTGAGGGCATTTAAGTCTTTTTGGCCAAGATGATGTAAGAAATGGGACCTAAATTCTGACAGGGGAGGTTTGTGATATTTTTGAAACCACAAGGGAGGAGAGTGAGACTGTCAGAAACCTCAAGGGAGGTATCTGAAATTATCCCAATTGTTATCAAATATGTCATTCAAGGGAAGGGGAGTGTAATTTTTAATATTAGAGGGTATTTAAGTGTAATTATTAAAAACTTTGAGGAGGTTTCTCAAATTATCCCATTCATAAACTTGCCTTTCTGGATTGAAAAAAAAAAAAGATAACAGTTCGTATCAGATTTGAAAGAGTGATTTATATTAGAACGCTCTCAATGATTCATAGATGTCTTCAACTCTAGAAGTTAGATTTATGTTAATTTTTGATATTTTTGTAATAGATAAACCAACCAAAAAAATCCTTTATTTTGTTGTTATTCAGAAATAGTAATAGCATTACTCACTCTTTCAGTGGGAAATTACTGAAAGACTTTATATTGCATGAGAATATTTTGACATCACATCACAAGCCCTCATGGAAGGACACATTATTACACATTCACACAATTGAAACGTTGAACTGGCAAGCAAGTACATAGACTGCATATTACAAAAAACTAACCAAGCTCTTATTTGTACTTCACGCTAAAATCCACATACTATCACAGCGAGCCTGTTTAAGCATTCATGGCTTAGCTAGAAACTGGCTTTACTAGTTCTGAGGCCCAGCCTCCACGGCTTGACCGGGATATGCGTAACCATCACCATAACCACCGTGGCTGCCACCATAACCTCCTCCACCTCCAAAGCCACCGCCACCACCATAACCACCATGGCCATAGCCACCACTATGGCCGCCGCCACTATAACCACCATAGCCGCCTCCATAGCCGCCACCACCATAACCTCCACCGTACTTGGCTTCTTCTACGCCTTTCGTCTCATCAACAGTCTTGGCTGCAATTGGGAAAAAATAATGTACGCATATTAGTGTGATTAGGAATGACTTTGTCAAATAAAATCATTTGGGGGTCAAACAACTTGAAATACTAAAATTTTCAACTAGTTTGTGTACATGATTTTTACTACATCCCAAGTCAAACTTGAATGAACACCTTAGTTAGATGCTTAGATTACTAGGACTCATCTATGTTTATTGATAGATTGATCTCTATTTATAGGAAAATGTTTGCCAGATTGCCGATGAAATGGTCGAGGTGTAGGCCCACGAGTAGTGAAGTGTTGAAGAATCGATTGCTGTAATTGGTACAAAGTCCACATTATCATCAATTCGTGTCCGATACTCGTCACTGAGTCCAAGTATTATTTTCAATTGTGATTTTGGAGTGACTAGGATCCATTACATTTATTCCAAGTTGATTTAACAAGTTAAATATTTTTAAGAAAGAAAAGAAACAAGGAAGAACATGCCAAACTTTCAATAGTTCCAAAGAAGATTTGTAGGCTGTTTGATTGTGTAACATTTTGCATTACTTTTAATACTTTCGAGTATGATTGTAAAAATCGATTTAATTAGTTGGGAAACCAATTTTCCTGCAAGTCTTAGGAGTGAATATCAACAGGACTAGTTTAAAATAACTTTCCAGTGTCCCGTCTTTTTTTTTTCTGGGCGATATTGCATACAAGGGTAGGGAAAATGTAAGACGAGAAGTAAAATTACTCTCTTGTCTTATCTTTATCTGTGTATATACTTTAGTTGCATAATTATGCTTGCTCTTAAATTATTTTTCGTGTTAATTTGGCTATGTTATTTCTGTAATATCGTGTTGAAGAGTCCTCTATTGCACCTTGCACGAAACCCTGTCTGATATATTATAGTAAATTTCAGGATATGGTTTGGCTGAGGTTGAGTTTGCGGGCCATTTGAATCTGTCATGGTTTCGTCCAAGAGTTGAGTACTATGAGAGGAAGAAAAACATACTTGACATACTGATGGGTTTAAAGATCTATACTTTATAGAATGAAGGAGCATTATATTGTATCCCAATGTAAGATTAAGATAACGTGGATGACCGTTGATAGAATTGATCAAATTTGAGAGTGAAACCCAATAATCTAGCTTTTTGCTTAACCCGCAAATTAAGCAATAAGAGAGGCATACAAGAAGCAGCCTAGCCAAAGGAAAAAGCCCTTAGTGATATGTTGTGCCCCACTTTTAAGTGAAACAATCCATTCAAGAAAATCAAATCAAGGTTTAATCATGTTTGTGTACTTCTTGATTTCCGAATACCATTGCGGACATTAAGAATTTTTGTAATGAATTAGTCTGACGGCATAACTTGACTTGGTATAGTGATTGTATGGGAGTTTTCTCCTGCCAAAATTATTTGTTTTTGTCCACAAGGGGAACCTATATAGAATTCATAAAAAATATAAGAATTGTCTAAAAACATACCACTAATTTTCTGTATCCTTTATTCTTTAAGCTAGCTTATAAATTAACTACTAAATGATTGTATGGCTTAATTACTAGTAGGCTATTTGCAGTCAAGTTCTCATAAAAGTTTTTCCTAGCTTAACCTAGATGGTTCAATTGCAAGGCACAGTTGTCGTACATAATCCGCAAATAATTGACGATGCCCTCAAATAAAATGTAATATGAAGCGATACATTTCAGGAAGAAAGTTTAGGAACACATGAGTCCTTATTTAGTGTCGAAAGGGTCAAATATAGCAGTTGGCAAAATTTTTACAGTAAGGGCTACATGAGTAGTGTACATTAGAAATAGGGTAATAGTCGGGAGAGTTTGTTTTCGTATTTTGTTTTATTTGGGATGTGTTTGGTTTAAACCAGTTCGTGAGGTGATATATTAATAAAGGGATAATTTCAGAAACCTCCCTCAAGATTTCTGACAATTATACTTAAATACCCTCTAATATTAAAAATTACTATTCAAAAATGTCCTTGGTTTAGTTGTTATTTTGAAATAGTAAAGGCATTACTCACTTTTTCAGTGGGAAATTACTGAAAGACTTCATATTGCATGAGAATATTTTGACATCACATCAGATGCCTTCATTGAAGAGACACATTATTACAAATTCACACAATTGAAACATCGATCTAGCAAGCAAGTATATAGACTGCATATTACAAAACACTAACCAAGCTCTTATTTGTACTTCACGCTACAAACCGCACACTATCACAGCGAGCCTGTTTAAGAATTCATGGCTTAGCTAGAAACTGGCTTTACTAGTTCTGAGGCTCAGCCTCCACGGCTTGACCACCACCATAACCACCGTGGCCGCCACCATAACCTCCTCCACCTCCATAGCCACCGCCACCATAACCACCATGGCCATAGCCACCACCATAACCACCATGGCCATAACCACCACCATAACCACCACGGCCATAACCACCATGGCCATAACCACCACCATAACCACCATGGCCATAACCATCATAACCACCATGGCCATAACCACCATAGCCGCCGCCACCATAACCGCCACCACCATAACCGCCACCACCATAACCTCCACCCCACTTGGCTTCTTCTACGCCTTTCGTCTCATCAACAGTCTTGGCTGCAATTGGGAAAAAATAATGTACGCATGTTAGTGTGATTAGGAATGACTTTGTCAAATAAAATCATTTGGGGGTCAAACAGCTTGAAATACTAAAATTTTCAACTAGTTTGTGTACATGATTTTACTACATCCCAAGTCAAACTTGAATGAACACCTTAGTTAGATACTTAGATTACTAGGACTCATCTATGTTTATTGATACTTCAACCCCTTACATGCATGTCCAACTGATATTATTACGTAATCAGACATGTGAAATTCTATGGTCCTATTTATGTTAATATATGTTAGACATAAACTTAAGAGAAGTTAGCAGAAACAAAATATAAATAAATAAATAAAAGGATGAAATTAAATTAGAGAATAAATGTCTTACAATTGTCAACTGACTGGGAAGTCTCAGCCAATTCCCTAGCAGCAACCTGTGAGGTAATCATGAGAACTATAGCCAAGGAAATGCAGAAGAAAAGAAGAGCCTTGGAACCCATTTTTGCAAAAGGGTATTTTATGTATTGGAAACTGAATGAGAAGGATGAGAGACCTGGGATAGATTGATCTCTATTTATAGGAAAATGTCTGCCAGATTGCCGATGAAATGGTCGTGGTGTAGGCCCACGAGTAGTGAAGTGTTGAAGAGTCGATTGCAGTAATTGGTACAAAGTTCGCATTATCATTAATTCGTGTCCTATGCTCGTCACTGAGTCCAAGTATTATTTTCAATTGTGATTTTGGAGTGACTAGGATCCATTACATTTATTCCAAGTTGATTTAACAAGTTAAATATTTTTAAGAAAGAAAAGAAACAAGGAAGAACATGTCAAACTTTCAATAGTTCCAAAGAAGATTTGTAGGCTGTTTGATTGTGTAACATTTTGCAGTACTTTTAATACTTTAGAGTATGACTGTAAAAATCGATTTAAGTAGTTGGGAAACCAATTTTCCTACAAGTCTTAGGAGTAAATATCAACAGGACTAGTTTAAAATAACTTTCCAATGTCCCGTCTTTTTTTTTTTTCTGGGCAATATTGCATACAAGGGTAGAGAAAATGTAAGACAAGGAGTAAAATTACTCTCTTGTCTTATCTTTATCTGCGTATATACTTTAGTTGCATAATTATGGTTGCTCTTAAATTATTTTTCGTGTTAATTTGGCTATGTTATTTTTGTAATATCGCGTTGAAGAGTCCTCTATTGCACCTTGCACGAAACCCTGTCTAATATATTATAGTAAATTTCAGGATATGGTTTGGCTGAGGTTGAGTTTGAGGGCCATTTGAATCTGTCATGGTTTCGTCCAAGAGTTGAGTACTATGAGAGGAAGAAAAACATACTTGGCATACTGATGGGTTAAGAGATGATATGGACATGCAACCCCCCCCCCCCCCTCCTCCCCAAACAAAACAACCATATATAAAAATACAAGAAAAAGAAAGATAAAAAAAATAAAAGTTATAGTCAAGTATACAAATAAAATTTTATCAACAACGTACTACCCTTGTAGCCAAGTACTAGTAATTTTAGATAAGTGTGATGAATGTGTGGCTCCATTTCATAGAAATTTTAGTTTGGATTTCATAATTATATCTGGATCACACAAACCTACCAACTTTAGCCCTAAACCTCATTAGCTGCTTAGGCACGTAAACACCAAAGTCAACATATAACTTGCACAAGTTTACCCGTGTTGCAAATTGATTTAGCTGAAAATGGGGAAGATTTGTACTTATGAAGTCAAGTTGAAAGTTCGACAATTAAACCGTAAAGAAACAATACTAATTAAATCATGTAGTCTGTTAGGCATTCTAGCATTTTATTTACGTATGCAATCCTTGGAACAAGTGACATGAGATAATTCTTGCCAACTAGTTCCTCAACTCTTTTTTCTTGGTGGGTGGATAGGGTGGAGGCAGGAGCAGAGCTAGAAAAAAAAATTTAACAGGGCCAAAATTAATATACAAAATTTTACTAATTACAGTATGAAAAAAATGTGTTTGACTAATGATATGCACTAAAGTTTTGCTAATTAATCTACAATTTAGCAACAAATTAATATTTCTCAGATCTCAAGTTCCTGATAAAGGATTCTTCCACTTCTCTCACAATCCTAATAAATTTTCACTAGATTTTTGTTAAGATGAAAATATAAATAAACAATGGTTGTGAGTTTCAATGTGTGGTGACCAGATGGATTTGTATGTTGGGAGTATGTAAGAATAGATAAAGAAGAAGAATAAATGCAAATTAAGTCTCTTTCTTTGTTAGACAAAGTCGTATCATTTATTTTAAGTGTTAAATTATTTGAACATAGAGACATCTAAACAAATAGTTCACTACTACTTTAAATTTTGTTGAAAGGTAGTGAGGGCAATTTTATTTAAGTGTGGGGGACAATCCTCCAATTTTGTATGCATATATGGAGATTTTTGTAGTAGCAATTCTCTAATGTTTAGGCTTTGTTAGAGGGTAATGGAGACAATTTCATTTAAGTGTGGAGGCAAAACTACTATTTTATATGTAAATAGAACATTTTGACGGGGTCAATGAAGGCAATTGCCGTACCACCACTTTGCTTCCATATCTGGTGGGGAGTGTGGGGTAACTTTTGCCAACAAGTGTAACATAAGTTACATACGTTTTCAAAGCTTTTGACCATGGCTAAGTTTGAGTTTGGGGGATCATTTGACTCTGCCATGGTTCCCACAAGAGTTCCTTGGAAAGAGTATATCTGTTTAAGAAGAAAATTTCTATTTTAAACGACATAAGATTAATAAAATAGACACAAATTAAAAGATGACCTATCTCTTGATTTTTAGGAGTTCTCGTGTTTGTATCTATCATTTGATTTATTGTGTTTTTAAAGTTGCTTTTTGTAGTTAAAATTTTTGAGAAGTTGTTAATTGATGGGTGTTGAATCCAACAAAAATAAAATTACCTACTCCCCAAAAGTTAATGAGTATAGTGATGAGTAGGATCGTCTCCTCAAGAAACTGGTTTATTTATTACTCACAGAAAAATGGAATGAATATTAGGGGGGAAATTTGTAGAATTTCTTTGAAATTATAATTAAAAATGCAATAATATGAATTAAAGAATAAATTAATTATCAAAATCGAATCAAGGAAATAATCTTAGCAACGGTTCAGTCAATTGTTCACTGCTACCAGAAATAACTCATATGTTCACAAATAAATTGGTTATAGCAATTCAATAACCATTGAACCACCAATCTCTCATTAATTTCTTGGTAGTCAAGAGATATTCATTAACTACTTTCCTTGTTAAGTAGATAATCCTAGAGACACTCATAGGATTATCTATTCACAGTCTTAAATATTAGAGAGACCCAATTCTAGTTAACAAATACACATGCGGGTTCATTTAAACTAGATTAATTATTCCCACAACACAAATTAGATTACTTGTGAGGTAATGAAATTGTGTCATTTGCCACTAATATTAAACTATATAAGTATTACAAACTTGATGTTTTAATTGGCATTAAATCATTCAGATAATTGAATAGTTGGCCAATTATTCAACTAAACACAAATGATAGTAACCAGTGAAATATAGAAAATAATTAAATACTCATGAATATATAAAATTAAGTACAGGAAAAATTAAATGATCTCACAATTAATTATGAAACCGTGCCTTGATTACTCCTCAACTAGACATAAATTTAGCTCCACTCCATGAAGAAAACGCAGCAAAAAAAAATAAAACTAGAACCAGAGTTTCTTTTGTTCTTGAGAGGAGAGAATGGGAAGAAGTTCAAGTGTTTAGAGATATCGATCTCTATTTTTCCTCCCTATTTATTCTTCTAAAATTATCATTTAAACTAATTTCCTAAAAAGAAGAAATATTTATCCTCAGCTACCTCTCACTACATAAGATAAGTAGATAAGATAGTTGTGGAACAAATTTTATCAGAAAATAAACTCAAACTCCTAAACATCGATACTTCAGGTACTTCAGCTTATTTTGGGGAAACTACATCTCTCCGTGCAGAAGCTTGGGCCCTTCTTATTGGTCTTCAAACGTGTAAACATAGGGGATTTGAAAATATAAGTGTGCAATCAGATTCACTGCTCTTAGTTGGGATCATTCAACGTCACACTCAATATCCGTGGCAGATTCGAAGGGAGGTCAGGCAGATTTGGAAGCTCTTGCAAGATCCTGTTCATTTTTCACACTGCTATCGAGAGGCTAACACAGTTGCTGATGCGCTGTCTAATGTGGGTGTATCTCACCCACATCAACAAGTCAAGGTATATGACAGCTTTACTATGTTTCCAAGGGAAGCTCGTGGGGCAATTTGCCTTGACAAATTAGGGTTACCGTCATTTCGGAAAATAAGACGTATGTAACACGAGTTTATGTTTTGTATTTCTTCTCATCAATAAAATAAAAAGTTGATCTAAAAAAAATAAAAAAAAAGATACTTCAGGTACTTCAGATAATGAGCAGAATTAACATGGCCCCCATGATTCTTCTAGAGATAAAACAATCATTAATTCCTGAAATTTTCTGGCTTAACAAATCTTCTGAAATTTTCTCTTTTAAATTTATTTTAATCATGAACCCCTGAATTCAACACCAAAGACAAATTATAAGAAAAATCAACAGAATAGTACAATAATTTGCCAAAATTATGAAAGTAATTTCATAAATAAAACACCTATTAAATTCACTATCATTAATGTTTCTACACTTTTGTATACATCACTCATAATGTATGTTCAAATCGTTAGTTACCTTACCGAATTTGTATGACCAGTAATTGTAAAGAAACATTCTTCCTAAAATCTAGTGAAGTTTTCTAGTAAAAATGAGATAAACAATTAAATTGGGTGAACATTGACTATCCAACCTTATAGAGAATCAATTTATGTGTCAACAGATTAGTTTCATAATATTTGCTAAGTTTTGCCACTTTAAATTTAGTTGACTAAAAGAGTATGGTACCCAAAAGCATTGTAAATGATTGACAACTACAATAAACAACCAATTAATGAGCAACAAATAAAATAAAGGGTTAAGTGCACTAAACCCTCTAAATTTTATCCTTAGTTGTAGTTGCGCGGTGCCCCCTAAATTCATTCAATGAGCACTTTACTCCCCCTTTTGATATTTTAAGACAAAAATGCCCTTACTATTTTATTCTTATTTTTTTTGTTTATTCATTCCCTTATTTTTCCTTTCCCTCTACTTTCTTTTATTTTTATATTTTTTCATCTTTTACTATTTTCTTTTATTCACTTCTCTTATGTTACTATTTTCTTTCGCTTTCCTATTATTTTTACTAATTTGTATGTTTATTGTACTGTTGTAATTATTTTAACTAATAATTTCGTTCTTATTTTATTGACTTGCACTATTAGAAAATTCAAGACAAACTGTGTAGCTTAAAAAATTGGTATATGCTAGTCATAATCAAAAAGTGTATATTACTAACAATTTTACTATTTAAAAAAATATTATCAAACTAGAATTTTAAATTACTTAATATTTAAAAGTATATCC